ATGTCCATAAACTGGCCTGCTTGTTTCTGGTTGTTACTGTGTGGGCATGCATAAAACTCCAGTTGAAGCCTCTACCTCTCCTCTTTGCAGCTGGGCGGTCCGATCTGGGCAGAGTCCATCCACGACCTGGAGTTCGTCCAGAAGGTTTTGTCTGCCGTGTCGGGGAACCCTTCCAGGTTTGGGACATCTAAACGCATTGAGGGCGTGCTGAGCATGGTGACTGAGGTACTCATTCCCCTTCTTATATATGCTCTCACTGCTGGAACAGGTGCTGTTTAATGGGATTGTCCCGTGGGTGTGGTTGGTGGCGTTAGCCGGCTTTTTGTCGTGTGAGATAGACTGTGATCATGTTTCAGTCGTAGTTTCCTGTCAGACTGAAGCTTCATTGCCTGTGACATGCTCTGTGTTTCAGGAGTTGGAGGATGTGCCGCTTTATTACACCGTGGACAATCTGAGCAGCACGATACACTGCAATACTCCACCCCTGCTCCAGTTTAGGTACACACACACACACACACACACACACAGTTTGCATCAACTGATGGTCTGTATGCATTTCTTAAAGACTTACAACTCATGTTTTCTTAACTACAAAATTAGTTGTAGGTTGTAAGCTGCGACCACACAGGAAGTGAGCACTCGATGCATATCACTTTGAAGCAGTATGCAGCGGTTATTTCACCCGCAGTCATTTTTGATCGTGTTGTTGTCGAGTGTTGTTCACGCGCTCTCTGACAGACGATGAACTCGGCTGCTGCACCAAAGCCCTGGATCAAATTAATACGAATATTTTGATTATTTTAAACTGTCAATCATACAAAGCTCCAGTATAATCCTTAAATAAAAAATATAGAGTTGGAAATGAGCATAGCTGCCCCCGCTTTAAAGCTCTCATCCATTTATATCTAACACTGAGTCTGTGGCATCTTCTACCTTGTTGTTTAGGTTATTCTCCTGCTGTGCATGTGTGAATGTCCACATTTGTTTGTTTTCAGTGATTCCAGGAGGAAAAAAAATATCTTACCCGTGGCTTTCCGTTTGTCTGTCTGTAGGGAAAACCTTCCTCCTCTCACATTTGTCACAAACTGAATCATCAGCGCATCCTTCCTCTATCTCACTCTTTTCAGGTCTGCTCTCCTCCATGCTGGCCACAGGGTCTCCCTCTCTCACGCCTGTAAAAACGCCATCAAAACAGACGCTCCTCCTGCAGCCATCTGGGACATCATGCGATGCTGGGTAAACTTTACAGGAGAAAAAGAAAAGCTATTTTTAGTAATCCTGAACACAGCCACACGCTGTTGTTGCTTAAACATTTCCATGTCCACCTGGAAATGTCGACACTAAATAAAAAATGAACATGCTTATTCAGAATCGTGTAACACATTTAAAGTCACACATGCACGTTTGATGATCTGCTGCAGGAGAAAATCAACCCTGTAAAGAGGGAGAAATTATCTCCGACCAGCCCCGCATTCAAGATCCTCTCCACTGAGCCCAGGTGAGCCACTTTGAGCCATCAGGAGCACATTTACCGCTTTAAAAGATTTTACTGTTTCTGAAAAATGCACAGCCTTAACCTGCAGATCTGTAATGTTTGTGTGTTTGTAGCTTTGAGGCCTGTTTCACTGTAAGGGAGGACGCCAACCCTCAGTCCCGTAAGCGCCACCTGACCCGGTTCCAGGAGAATCCTCAGGCCTTCTGGGGACCCAAAGCTCGCGCCAAAGCTGGGTAACCATAACAACAAGTTTGTTCGGTTTTTTTTTAATAGTCCAGAGGTCACAAGTGTCACATGCTTATGTTTCCAAAGCAGCTAAAATGTGTGTCAGTTGAATCAAGAAGTACGGTGGCCTTGAGTGGTCAAACACACTGCAACTTCAGAAAAAACACAACAGAAATACGAGGGCAATCCCAAAACTAAGGTCTCCAAAGCAGTGGTGACGTAGAGAAACTGTTCATACGGCTCTTTGCCACACTGTTGTGATCGGTGCTTCCTCCACTCCCGAACAAGCATGAGCAGCTTCGCTGGGACGCTCCATCTTGGCTTGGCAGCCCTATGAAAATGGAGCTCTCGCTGAACGCTTCCACCAAGTGCGTGCAGTGCACAACTGTGTTTTGGGACTGAAAGGGGGTATTGTTGGTTGACTTTCTGCCACAATAAATGCTGACAGGTACTGTGAAACACTGAAAAAAAACTCAGAAGGGCAATTCAGAACCAGAGAAGAGGAATGCTGAGCAAGGGCGTAAGCATTCTCCACGACAACGACACGTCTGCACATTGCTCGCCAAATTGTCACTCTCCAGCAAAACTTTGGTTGGAACTTCACCCACCCATCCTACAATCCGGACTTGGCACCCAGTGACTCCCACCTGTTGCTAAAGTTGAAAGAATATTTGTCCAGAAGGTGATTCTGTGGCAGCAGCAAGCGGGTACGACATGGGCATTGTAAAACTGCCACAGCGTCTACAAAAATGCAGGGAGTGAAATGGTAATTATGTAGAAAAATAAATAATTCTTCAACCTTTAAAATGATGTAAATATTTCTAAAACGATAGGTGACCTTACTTTTGAGATTGCCCTCGTAGGAAAAAAACCCCAAACCTTAAATACCCCGAATTAGTTTAATTAGTTACTTAAAGTAGTCCTGAGTTTCTCTTTGGAGAGGAAAAAAAAAGCGGTGTTCATGTTCTTCCACTGTTCTTTGTTTCTTGCACATGTTGCTCCTTCTATCATCTCCACTTATTTATTTTTTTATTCTCTTTTCTCTGGTTTCCTGTTAATCTTTCTCCTCATTTGTTCCACAGTGGTGGAATCTCTGCTGACCTGCAAGACAAGAGGAAAAAGTTCCAGAACAAGAGAAAGAACCAGATCACAGACTCTTCTCAGCTCAAGACCTTCCCCTGCAAGAAGTTCAAACAGGTCAGATTTACTAAACACAACTTAAATACACCATTTTTTTGTAACATTAAAAACTCTTAAATAGCGCTTTTACCTGCATCCCACTAAACTGAAGGTGAAGATGGTGACTAGCTGGTGAACATAGCATAACATTTTAGTGATGACTTGGTGGAGACCAAAATGATGCTGTTCTTGTGGCTGCTGGGCATTTAAAGCTAAGAGGCCATCTTTGCAAAAGGCTGCCCACCCCAGGCATGCTCAGAGGGGTTTTCTCTGTATTGCTGTAGGATCTTTACCTTGACATATAAAATGTCATGAGGTGACCGTTGTTTAAAATAAAAAAAATCATAAATAATTTTCTCACAAACTAGGAGTATGTGAAAAGGGTTTCTGCCTGTTTAACATGTAGAACTATGTTTGTGCACAGCACAGTAAAATCGTTACTGTTGCAGCAGCTGACGGAGTCGCTGCAGGTGAGGATCGCTTCAGCACGTCGGGTTCTTTATCATACTGTTGGCACACACAAGTCCCTCTGAATTAAAGGCAGGCAATTACCTAAATACTAATTAGTCCCGTAAAGTCTCGATGTCCTGGGCGGAAAATGAAACGGCAGACTCGTGCTGACGAATTAGTCTTCTCCATAGGTTGCTTTGGCAGGTCGCCACACACTGCTGGTTTCCTGCCAGAGAAGCTGCGCGCTGCCTCGGCAGCCACAGCCAAAACATACTGCTGGCTGTTCAGACGTTACTACATCAGAATCCAACAGCTTTTATGAGTATTTCTTTATTTTTGTCTTTCAGGGAACATGTACCCACGGAGACGAGTGCTGCTACTTCCATGACTCGGAGCAGACAAATGAACAGAAAACAGAGTGATGACTCTATATTTTTCCTTTATTTTAAAATAATCTTATTTGTGGAATTTGAATGGATGTTTGAATGTTGCACAGCAGACTGTTTTGGCTTTTAAAAGTTACTGTACATAACATTTCCATGATTTAGTTCTATGCCAGAGGGTTTTTTCTTTTTGACTGTCAGCCTGTGTTCACACCAATAAAGTCATTGCTGTGAGACTGTTTTTGATATTCATAAATAACATCAGGTGGACGATTATAATCTGACACACCTTTGTCACTCAAAAGGTCAAATCGTTATGAAAAGCACCTCTTTGTTTAGGTTGTTGTTTAGCACCTCAGCAGCCATTTAGCTTCTCACACTAAAAGGGGAAAAAAACCATCAAAAAACCCTTTTTGATCATCCGAGGCTTCACATCGCTGCATGGTTGAAGACACGCTGGAGACAGCAGGCACAGATGACTGTCACTGAAAAAGGTCTGCAGCAGCAACAGCACAACATCTGTTCTGATGACAGATTATCAGAAGGTAAATGCTGCTTCACTGATTATACACAAGATTTGTGGCACAAACACGAGGGCAGGACAGTAAGGACGATTGATTTTTATTATTAGCTGCTTCTTGATAAGTAGAAAAATCAAAGTATATACAACATGGCAGAAATGCAAAGATTATATTTTATTGCACATATCACTTTGTGGGAGACGATATTCTGTTACTGCAACAGCACAAAAAAAACCCCACAAATATAAATGTTCTCAAAAATGTTAAAGGCAGCTTTAACAAATTCAGACATTCTGTATCAAAGTCTGAAGGCATCCTTAAATGACTTTTGCACAGGTCAGTCCGGGCTACAGCTGTGATCCGATTTTAAGTCCTAGGCAGCGTGAATACAACTTCTCATTCATCTTTTTTTCCCCTAAAAATCCTCATTTTATTAAATCAGCAATGTAAACAAGCCACAGGAATGTCAATATACGATAATTCATCTTATAAAATCTCATGTGTGATTGGCTATCTAAGGTTGACTTTGAGAAGGAACGTTCGGATCTCCATTGGCCTTAAGGTCACCTCCCACGTGGAGGGGTCTTGAAATGTCTTCAGCAAGGGCTTTTCTCCTGGAAAACAGACACATTATGTGAGCACAACTACAAACGACACAAAGTGGTTTTAGTTGGTTAATCTTTAAACACGGCTCAGTGATCAGCAACCCAATAACATGTTGAGCTCCAGAAACACCTTGTAGTATACACCACATTATAAAGCATATCAATCTGTTTATGACTCTTTATGGCTCCCTGCTGGCTTAATTAGCACCTGCAGGGAAACTGTTAAGTCGATGACTACAATCAGAGATTTAAAAGGCATCAGCAGATTTCTATCAGCCCAGCGCTCCTTCAGTGCATGGTCACCTGCCAGATGGGCAAAAACCCAAATGTTCAAAGTCTTTATATTACTACACCAACAAATGTTCAGATATAAATAATGTAATGAAATTCTGACAACAGTAAACAAAGGCAAATATCAGGGAATCCTCACTATGGAAGTGTGATTGAAGAGCAGCGAACTACAAAGCCAGAATAACGGATTACTGAATTATATTAAGTGCAGTATATGTTTGCAAATAAGTTTCGTATTGAAGCCATACATTAAAAAACAAAAACACTGAAGCGCAGACTGTGCACTTCATTGTCACTGGATTATAAATGTATTCAGTTGGTGATACAGAAAATGTGTAAATGTTTATATACTTTATTTTGCTGCTGCTACATTTCTTTCACACAGCTGGAACTGCAGTTACAAGCGCACAGAACACGCATCATTTAATCTATGAAATTATTTTCACTTTGATCTGACAACGAACCAAAGTGATTTCCACAGAAGTTCATACTTTGTCTCTGAGATTTTACCACCGACCTCCAAAATGCACAAAGCTCAAAGCAGCGCAGTTGGAATCCATATTAAAATACGCCCGAGGAGACGACATTCATTGAAATTTAGCCAAATTTAAATCAGACTGGAGAACACATCCAGCTTTGAATCTAGGGTGACGTTCAAAACTGCAGTGGTGAACTAACTGACACAACACTGGTGTCCTGTACCTTTCTCAGGAGTCCATTTAAAACGTTTCATCTCATCTTTCCACTGATTGGCCGACAGGTTCAACTCAGCCACACCCAGAACCTCCAGAGTTGAAAACAGCTTCTGCACAGACAGGAAAGACGATGGGATTAGTTACAGCAAAATGACAATCCACTGCATTGCAAACGAGAAACGACTGAATGACAGATGATCGTACGGTCGCTTTGAGTGTAACAAGGTTCAAACTGTTTCTGAATGTCTGACCTGCAGGTTGACTGTGACTGGCTGAGAGCTCACTTTGCTCTCTGAACTCTGGTACTGATGCTCCAGTCTCAGCAGCACTGAGTCTTCATCCCACTGACTGAGTGTCAGCAGGTGGACAGCAGGGGGCAGTGCAGCCAGGAGCCCTGAGAACTAAAAGACAAAGACCCCTCACTCACAGAAACTATGCCTTTAAAAAAAAAAAAGATTTAATGTATTCCAACCACATTTTCTATAAAATTACTACATAAAGTTGATATGAATTTCGACCAATCACTGGCTCTGAAAACATGTCAGCAGCAGTTGGCGCTAAAGGCAACACAGCTTAACTCAGTTCCCCTGAGAGCGAGTGAATCTATGTCTAAAAAATGCAAATATGTACACAGCAGGACAGAAATGGGTTATAACCAGCAGCATAGACAGTTGGAGACAATGACTCAAAACAAGCAGCAGACTCCCACAGGAACAGCCTGCAGTTTGTCTGCAGGTCACAGCACTGTACAAAGCTTTTCTTAAGCTTACACACAAGACTTTAAGGTGTTTGAACAGGAACCTGCAAGATGGAGGCCAGCTGGTTCTTGCACTGCTAATATTTCAAACACAGATCACATCACCGGGAGTCTTGAGACCCGATTAGTGAAGTGTGTTAATAACATGTCTTTAAAATACATGCAGTATTTGTACAAGTACTGTACGCATGTGCACGTGATTGGGTGAATGAGTAGAAAGGCGCTATACAAGTACCAATCCGTTTATCATTTACATACCTCCAGCTGAGTGTTTGGCTTCAGATCTCCATCAGTAAACGTAAGCAGCGGCTGCAACACCATCCCCTCTGCAAGGGGGCGGTGCGTGTCGGCAGCAGTCTGCGGGGGATCGAGGGTGAGCAGGAGGCGGCCGCGGACCACCAGCCCGTCTGGGAAGATGCCAGAGATCTCGTTGAGAGGTTCACCAACACCACGGAAATCATCGTGGAGCAGCCGGCGGTGGAGCTGAGGGTGAGGAGGTCGGATAGAGAGACTTTAATAAGAACTCCTTGTGTGCGCTTAGATGGGGTCGACATGCTAATGGCAATGAGCTACGACTTTATGCCTCACCATGATCTCCAGTGAACCATTCTGGATGCTGCCTCCACCCTGAGAGCGATCCGTTACCACAGTGAGTTGGTCCGTATCATCCTGAAGATACACAAGTGAAAGGAAAACATCACTTGTGATAATTCATAGAACTAACAGTCAATGCTTTTTGTTGCTTGTCTCTCCAAATGGAAGCTAACAAACACACAAACCTTGATATAAGCGCGAGAGTTGATTGGGTAGTAGTTTCCAGCAATGGGCTCTGACTGTTTCAGGTTCCAGGTGGGCCGGAAGTCTTTCCTGTTTGGGGGGGATGGGACACACACACACTAAGTGTACGGAATTGGATTCTTTTAATGTAAAACTATCACATAACTGTACAGCTGCCTTACTTTGTATATAATCTGTAAAATACCATCCAAAACAACTGCAACAACTTTAAAAGGTTAAAATGCATGCAACTCTTACTTCCTCTGCAGAACTTCTCTGCCGTTGGAATCAGTGTAGAAATATTCAGAGGTTTTGATACTGGTGTCCAGACGAGTGATCACCTCCTTCCCCAGGCTGTCACTAAAAGGTCAAGACAGCAAGTGTGACGTGGGTTAAAGGTGGGTGGTGTGGGGAGCATTTTGGCCAAGATTCCTCACTTTTCCTTGAATTTATTTCTCTCGCTCACAAATAAAAAAATAAATAAATGACTAAAATAGACCTGAAATTATGAGCTAAAGCTATTCCCCAGTGGGTGTGCATGGAATCTTATGGTCTAAAATTCCCTCTTTCCATGTATTTATAATCTGACATGGGGAAAAGGATAACAGCGATCTAAGCCAATCCCTTGCTATGATATGAGGAAATATTTAGAAGGGCAAAACTCTGCCACAATATTGCCCCATATGAGGTTTTTCTCCCCTGGAAGATCAATTGACATTAAGGCACTGAGCTTTTAGAAAGGTTGAAGAGAACAGAAATTTCAACAACCACTTATCTCTAAAAACATCTCCATCACATATGTAGTGTGCACGTGTTAAACTCACTCTATCGGCACAGGTCCCACAGTCCACTCGAGCTCCAGAGCTCTGCTGTCAGCATAGAGACGAACCACCTGAGACACCCAGGGAGCAAACCACTGCCTCACCTCCTGCACCACTGACGTCTGAGGATGAGAGCATTGCAGTACAAAATTAGACGCTGCATATTAGCCTCTAAACAGGGAGGTAAAACATGTTGGCACGTTCATTCTGACACCCACACATATAAAATGACAGCAGCCTATAATTTAGAAGTAAACTGAATAACAGTGTAAAAACAAAGCTTTGCTATGAGGAATCTACGTCTGGATACGAGCAAACATCTCTACCTTAATGATCTCCGTCTTGGCCGTCCGGCTGATGATGAAAGGTGTGGAAGAGTTGGGTCTGAAGATGTAGGCTCCAGAAGGCTGCTTGCTCTCTACGTTGTTACCGTCACTGGCGTTGTACCTGGGACGTTTTAACAACACATCATTTGGAAGCTCAACTTCAAAAAAAGCGTGTTCATTTTGTTATTTTTAGAAACACTAACCAGTAGAAATTCTGTGTCAGTTTGATGCTCTGTTTGGTCTCCAGATTGTTGAGGCTACTTATCAGACCTGTCTCAGGGTCAAAGGTCACTTGTAGGTACTAGAGTGCACGAAAACAAACAAAAACAGTTCCTTTTTCAGAAGATTTTGTTGATTTATTTGAATATTTTGGACTTATATGCTGTGTTCTGACCTTATTCTGGATCACTGGGGGTGCGCGCTGCTGTGCAGGTGCAGGTGGA